GGCCGATTCAAAAGCTCCGTCCATTCTAAGCCGTGTGATTTCGCAACGAGAGAGAGAGAGAAAATCGAATTCGATACTTTACGCCGTTGTAAACGGCTATCGTATTTTTCCGGACACGCTCCTCGCGCGCTTCGCTCTTGACATCCATCATATCCGATCGCCCGCTTCGGGGATTATTGTCGTGGACGCGGCTCGATGAGAGGGATCCTTCGCGCGACGCGCTGCCGTGCTCGCGTGTTTCCGTGGCAACCGTAAACAGGGGCCCCCGAAATTTTACTGGCGGGCTATCGCATCGTACAAAGCAGGTGGGTCACCCCTTTTACGATCCGCACGTGGATATATATATATATCCAACCGGGGGTATCTCGCTATCTCTCGGGCTCTACCCTTTTCTCCCTTTCGTCTCTTTCTCGCCCTCTCGCGCCTTCCTCGTTTCGTCAACGCGTTTTGCGCGCATTCGACTATCGGACTCGATTAATTTCCCATGGATGCTCGTAAAGTGCGCTTTACTGGCTGTTATACGTGCCGATATGCTTGCGAAAAGGCACGTTCGTTTTGCTCGCGCTGATACGGTCGTAGACCTCGTTCGAGTCTATCGGGAGAAACTTCCTCGCTTCGAAGGAAGAACGACCGCAATCTCCGTAATGGAGAGGAATCCATCGGAGGCGTTTTCGGGACCGTTAGTAAATTCACTCGCTACGAAAGCTACTGAATTTGTTGTGTCCGATTCCGCGTTCGTTTTCGGGCGATCATTTCGACCGGAGAAATTTTCCGCTCCTTGCGCTCTCTTTCGATACTTTCGAAACTTCCCGTCAATTCCTGATTGAGCTCGTGATTATTTATTTGAAAGGATCTATAAATATTCACTGGTTTTCGGGGAGAATAGAAACATGCATTATCGCCGAATGCATTGACCATTTCAACATTTCCGCAGGAAATAAATAATCGCATTTTCTCGCAATAGAGAAACGCCTGATAATTCCATGTATGACGCATCGATATTTGTAGATCATTACGTAATAATAGTGTTTCCATTTTCCGCGATGGAAATAATGCGTTTCACGATAAACCGTCGCAGAGATAAATAAATAAATAAATCTCGAAAATGCCGAAAATCTAATGAAATAGTAAGATATTGCACAATGTGAAATAATATAGGATAAAGGATAAAAAACAGTGGGTAATTACATTAAGATAGACATAAATTAATAGATATTATTTCATACATAACATATCACCGAAGTAGACGTATTTTTGCTTTTATACTTTTTTTGTGCGTAGTATTAATATTTTTATAAATTTCAATATAAATCTTGATAATAAATCGATAACGATAGTTAAATCATATTGATAGTTATTTCGAAAGCACTTAACCGATATTTCTTGTCAGTAATCAAATGCATCAGTAAAGCAGTTTAAACGATAAGCTATCTTGGATCATAAATGCATTATCTGCCAACCGTTATCTTTTTTTCCATAAATCGGTATTCATGCAAGATCATGATGTAATCAAAACGAGACTCATAACGGGAGATATGAGAAAAGAGCATGTGAATAGCGCGAAAGTCATAGTTGATTTATATATGACGCGACTGGGTCGCATTTTAATTGAGATATAAATTTCTGGGCGTGAATATATCCATGATTGAAGTCACGATCCAATTTCATTACGGAATTTAATGCCATGCGGTGTCAATAAAATGTCGACGATATCCACCCAACAATTCATCACTTTACACTGGATTTTCCACTTATTTTTAGATCTACCATTTCTGAATAATAACGCAAATATTGCAAAACGAGTTTTATGAGATACATGAAATTATTACAACAGAGATTATGCCTATCACAATATAATAGAAGCGAACGTAAAGTATTAAAAGAGGGAGGCAGTGTTTGAGAGTTAATTTTAAATATGAAATTTTATATTGATTTTACAAGTCTTTCAATTTTTTATTTGACATTTATTTGACATTTAAATTGAAGGATGAATATTTTCTACGAAGATATTGCGTTTATTACTTTATTTATCTAAATAAATAAATGTAATTTTAAGTGCCTAATATATAGGTATATAGATTGAAATTTGTTTATAACAGATAAAGTTGGTATTAAATTTTTATCTTACGTGACTCAGCTTGATTAATTTTTATCATTTTTTATTAGTAAATAATTTATTAATGTTTTTCTATCGATGCCAATTTCAAAGTTCAAGAATATGCTAATGGCAAGATACAATAATTAGTCTATCCTGTCTACCAGTTTGCCACTCTACTTCAACGCTTGCTGGGTCGTCTCTGTTAAGGCGTAATTACTTAGCGATGTTCTTCAATCAAATGTAAGTACACAATTATGATGGGCGAGCATGATAATTAAATTAAAGAGAAACATGAATGAGATTTATACTGTAGCTCTCTCGTAATACTTCGCACTTTTTAAAAGGATAATTGCTATCTTTTCAGCTTACAGTTCTCCAGAAATTAATAGATTTAGCGTTGAATTATAAATACAGGTCGAAAAAATGTTGACATAGATAACTATTTATACATTTCATTTAACGTTAAATATTAAAAATTTTTATGACTCTTATTTTCAATTACAATTTCTTATATAATACTTTCTTTTCTCTCGATTAAGAATAAATGATTTTTGATCAAATATTTTATTTAATTTATTAATCAGTTTTTAATATCTCGTTGATATTGTAGATATAAGTCATTGTAACTTGTGTATTACAATCTGTGCTAAACAAAATTTTCCATCCATCTGATCAGATATTCTGTTGTTCAGTCATTATCTTATTTTTTAACATATTAAGGGAATATAGATTACGCTTATCTGCTCAGAATATTCTCTAAAAATCATTGATTCTCGGATTTAGTGTGCCGGAACAGTCATCTTTTCAGACAATTGTCTAGACATAAGACACACGATCGAATCATGAAGATTTGTGAGTTCCATTATGAAACTTTTCGATTTACGTAAATTCTGATCCACGGTAGAGAAAAAGAGAGAGAAAGATATTTCGATTGGGTTGCAGCGTTCGGAGTAGATTAAATCTTCATGGAGAAACGGGCGATCGAGTGTTATAAATCAAGTCCCCTAAGCTTCTCATTTCAGAAAAGACGCGTCTTCTTTTCTTTGAATCATTCTCCCATGCTACATGTCAACGGAGATTAAAATTTTATTTGTCTTTTCTCATTTCTGTTTTATTTGTGATTATTTTATTGTGTTTCTTCAACATATATGTATATAGGAAAATACTAGCCAAATTACTTAATTTATTTAATTTTTTTATACATGCGTACATATATTTTTATGACAACTAAGAAAAATTATAGAAAAATTGCGTAGAATAATAATTTGAAAAAGCCAAATAAAAAAAAAGAAATTTTTTATGCATAGATAAAAACTAATATAATATTCATAATTTATTATAACGCTTTTTTATCACGTAAATTATTATTGACACTGGTTACATTTTGTAAGTCATAATTATGTAGAAATTACAAGTACATTTTGTGCCTCTTAAAAATTATAATAATTATGATCGCGCAGTGGCGGTAATAAATATCGATCGTATAATTTGCGCAGTAATTCAGAAATTATCTCCCTCTCATAACAATACCTTCTAGATTGAAACCTCGTTTGCGAATGGCTGGGCTTCGTCAACAGCTTGCCAAATATATTTCCTTCGTCATTCGCTTCGAATATCGTATTGTCTCTATCCGTATGACATTTTGCTTTATCGGTCCAGCATATTGGAGCAGTCGACCGGAAACACGGTAGCTCTGAATATGTCTCAAATTTCCTTTTCTCTTTCTACATCCTACTCGATTGCTCCTCCGCCTTTCTCTAAAACTGACGATTCGGATCTCTCTCTTTCTCTCCGAGGGTTCTCGACGATATGGTTTGAGACATGGGCGATGGAAACAGTCATGCGTGTCCCCATGGTATTTATCTGCCCCAAAGCAATGAATTGGTTATCACACCAATTCGTTATACGTCAAATATTTGTTCTACTCGAGAGAGCGCGTATGTTAGAACATAATTGATACGGTATGATGCTTTTAGAGACGTTTATTGATGTTAATGACATTATCGGGAATTCATTAGTACTTCTCTGTTGATTAATGTTAATTATAGCTTTAACAGAAACATATAGTCGAGAAGTTATATTTTCACCGATGCCTATTTACGCTTATAACAATATAATATATGTACTGCGAAAAATAAGCCAGTTCTATGTGAGATTGTATTATTGAAGATAACTATCAAATAGATAAATATTAAACTCCATTGATTATTTAAATTAGATTATTGATTAATACTGACCAATGAAAACAAGATGACGTAGTTGTTTGCCCAAAACCATGTTTTGCCGCGCGAATCGCGCAATAACATTTAATACTATTAAATAAATTGGTTTGAGATGGAATCTCGTGTTTGACAATTGAGAATGGAAAAGTTATAAGATAAGAACCTAAAACATTTAACGAAAGATATTAAAAAGATTTGTGATTCGACGGTCCACCCGATCGTTCTCTTAAATAAAACTATTGATAGTGAAATGCCCTTTAACTCTAGATATTGATTTTTTATTAATACAAATATCTGCTCATGCACGATAAACTCGATTTTATGATTAGAATTTAATTAAATTGCGGAATTTGAAAGATTACGTTTTTATGATCGCATTTTTTAAATAATTGTGTTATTATTAATATATAGTATATACACGCAATACTGCTCAAATTATGATGGTATCATACACAGGAACATACATCGACCTTTTTCAATTCAAATACTTGAAATATCCTATAATGGGAATACCTTGTATTGTTATATGAAATTTCTATGCTGGATATTTTTTGAAGCATTAAATCAAATTAACTTATACATAATAAAAATATCAAAATGATATAATTTTTACATAAATTTGCATTATTTTGCAAATGTTATATAATGGCTACACATAAATATGAGATTAATAGTAAAAGTGTGTTAGCGTATCATATAAAATATATGTACGTAGATTAACACATGATTAATTTACGATTATCGCACCAGATTTGATTACCAGAAAAAAAACATGTCAACGATAACATGAATAATAACTAGGAATATACATGTATAAAATAAAGTAGAAGAGTTTGGACTGTATAATCTACGCTCGATAATCTGCACTGATAACGTGCATATTGTTTGTAGATTAGAATCTCAATTGCGTCTTTAATATTTTTTATGCGCTTGTGACGCCTACACTAAGTCGCTTTAAATTACCCCACCTTGTACATCGCAGATTTAAAAGCTTTAAAAGCTTGCACAGCGTTTAGTATCACAAGTATTTTCGCATACTAGCAGCACAAGTAATATAGAAAACATCTACAATGGCACGGTTGAGTGCTCTGTTTCTTCTTCTTGTTGTCGTCTGCGTCTGTAAGTTTTCTAATTATTTTATTTTAATTTCAACGGGTTAAAGAGAGAACAAATCAGACATGAATAGTAGTGTATCAATTTTAAGAAAAATTAATTTTTTATTGAAACTGATTAGTTTCATTTATTAATACACAAGGCACAAATTTTATTTGGTGCGATATTAATAAAAAATAAAAATAAATTAATTATAAATAAATAAAATAAATTGCAGTTTTAGATTTTAATCAATATCTCTTTAACCTTCTCTAAAGAAGAATTCGCGATTCAGTGAATTCGCTTTGATATTTTTTTTTATGTATGCTTTTTTAAAAGGTGGTCAAGAGGCGATTTAGTAAAATAAAAATCTAAAATTTATTTTAATTATTTTAATTATTTGGTATTGCATCAAGGAAAATAAATAAGTTGTGTCTTATGCACAACTAATCAGTTTTAATAAAAAATTAATTTTCTTTAATTAAAATTTAAATTTGTGTTTGAGAAAACACATTGAGTGCTTTACGAAATTCTTAATTGTTATTTTATTTTTATTGTAATATTGATTAATAAAAATTTTATTTTTTTATTAAGAATTTTATACATTTTCTTTTAAAATTTTCTAAAATGTAAAGTCTAAACTATTATGATACAATTTTAAAATATTCAAATTATACCCTTTTCCTGCAAAATATTTTTTAAATATTTAATTTTGTATAATAGTGTAATAAAAAAATAAAAATACAGTTTTAAGATGCGTTTTCCATAAAATATTTGATGTTATAGAATTCATATTTCTTGTATGATTCTATTTTATAACATACATTTAGACGGTGCACCAAAATCTCCTCAGCCATGCGATATTTATGAGGAATGGAATGACTGTGCAGTAGCAAAATCTTGCGAAGCTAGATGCGGTTATGATACTCCAATAATCTGCCCTACGGTACGCAAATATAACAGTTATGATAATTATGCTACCATAATAATTAGCTTATTGTCATGATATATATATATATATATATATATATATATATATATTCTGAATAGTTTATTCTATATACTATATATATTCTATTATGTCTTCTTGTTTTAATTTTAGATTTGCGTTGCTCGTTGCCAGTGCATTAAAGGATTTAAGAGAAATTTTAATAGCAATATTGTGTCCCTCAGGATTGTAAATTGTACTAGAAAACAACATAATGAAATTTCTTGAGGAGTGATTGCTTTTCACGATTAATATTAATTTAATTATTAAATGTGTTTAACTATATTATATATGTAGATTTCTTATTATTCAATTATACTCTGTTTATATCATTTTTATTGAAAGATGAATTGTGTTGTGATAGTCTTGTTTTAATAAATGCTTAAAGATTATTTTTAATTTGAGAATATTTCTATTTTCTTTTATATATTTTATTTCTTTTATAGAATTAAGAAGAAAATGCAATCCAGCAAAAAATTATTTCTGTAAAATTTATTTTTTTCATATCTTTTTCTGTATAACTATTATTATCATTATTATTACAAATTTAAATCACTGTTACAAATTTAATTTATATACAAAGAATGTTCTATTATGAGAAAATTTTTATATGTATACTTATGAAAATAATGAACACAAAAATCGTAAATTTACATTATCTGTTATATGTATAATGACTATGTTTAGGAAAGATTAAATAGTAAATATTATTAACATCAAATTGCATTAGTTGAGAAGTATAAACGTGAAAAAATAATTAGCTGTGATTATCAAAATCATCAATCGGTAAAAATAAATTATTTCAAAAAACACTTTTTAAGAAATAAAAATTAATGTTTATAGATTATTTTTGTTTAAAAGTTTATTTGCTCAAATTGAATAAAATTATTAAATTTGATGGAGAATAATTAATGTAATAAATTATTTTCTTTTTAATGTAATATATATGTATATATGTGTATATGTATATATGTATATATATATATATATTATATATATATATATATATATATATAATATATGTATTATCTAGAAAATACTAATAAAATATTTTGATATATATTTAAAAAGTTTTTTATTAAAAACACAACAATTTTTTAAAGTTTAACAAAAATAAGCAATTTTCAATAAGTACATAATTATTTGAAGTTAAAAAATTTTGAATGCAACTAAAAACTTGTACAACAAATGTATTGTAATCAGTAAAAAAAGCTTTAATCACACATACTCATTTCGTATCATTATAGCGACATAGTTGATGAAATAGTTTTAGAAATTATACTTGTTTGGTTATAGAACGTGATTAACAACTTTGCGTAGGTACACATCTGCCTCCCGCGTTTCTCACATGTCCTTGTATGCAGTCACATCCAGGAACACATGCCTAAAAACGAAATGAGGAACATTAAAAAATATAAGTAGAGCTTTTATTTGTACAAAATTATTTTAGAATTCCGTATTCCATTTACACAAATATACTTTATATTTAAATTCTATTTATTTAAAAAATATGCACGTACGTAACTTTTAAATTGCAAAAATATTAATAATAATATAAGAATTATTTATCCACATTTCTAATGTAGTGGTTCAAATAAAAAAGAAATTTAATTTAGAAGAAATTAAAAAAATATCTTTGAAATATTTAACAATTTTTCAAAATTTTTAATACATTTATTTAAAAATTAATACTGACCAATGTGCAAACAACGGGAGTTGGATTTTCGCAAGTGCTTGGGCACTTTGAACCGCAACTATTGAATACCTCATTTTCACCACAATGGGGCACAGCATCTATAAAAACATAATTATAAATTAATTATTTATTTTTTAATAATTATAAATTAATTATTTATTTTTTATTTAATGAAATTCTTGTAAGTGTATGAAAGATATTGTTATTTTATGTGATATATGCTTATAATTTAATTTTTTATTTATTTTATTATTTTACAAACGTGTCCTATGTGTAATTAAGCTTTATAACTCTATCAACAATTTATATTTTTAGCACAATTCGGAAATTATTCTATATTTTTATGTACGATATACGTAATTCTACTAATTATTTATAAATTTTTCTGACAATTTTTCAGTAAATGAAATATCTGTAAGTGACATTCCACGTTTGACAATTTAATGTATTATTATTGCTTTGAACTTACTAATGGCAGCAACTACGATGAGGAAGATGAAAATTATGGCACGGGCCATGTTTGTATTCTTCGGTGCTATTCTATATTCGCTTGAACAACTCGGGCTGGACTGATGATCAGTGTGCAATTTACTGAGCTTATATACAAAGTCGGATGACCTTCGCCCGCCACACGCCTTTCTCAAGATAGACATTTTTTTCGGTATAACTACTTCCTTTTTGTTCTCGATGTTCACGCTGAAGTCATCTCACATAACGACTTGTTTTTGAAACCGCTATTGCAACGTGTGACATGAATAATTTTCTATCAATTTTAAATTTCTTATCAATAAGTAGATATAAGTCTGAAGACTTATAATCTAATTCAAATTTTTACGCAGAAAATTTTTGAATTCATAAAATTAGTTTGTCTTAATCTCGATGTTTCAAACTTACATAATTATTACCAGCAATTTTTGTTAAATCATTATTTTACTCTCTACTTGTAATACTTGAAATCTAATTAGATGATATTCTAAAAAGAATTACAAATAGCAGCTAATTTTCATTAAAGAGTGTTAAAATATATTTGTATATTTATACAAAACTTGTACAGAAATTTGTACATTTAAACAGAAGTAATTTGTACATTTTAAAATTCTGAAAGATTATATCTTTTGTTTAAAAAATTGTCTAACAAATTGATTTATCCTCGAATAATGAGATTTATTTCATTGTGTTAATCTTAAGTTATATTCTCACTGGAGACACAACGAGCAATTTTTTGTTGCTAAATATTACTTTTTCTTATTATATATTTTCGGGAAATATGTAGTTTTACTTGCAAAGATCTATAACTAATTATGCCTTTGATATTCTCCGTAGATAATAATAATATACATTATATTAGCAGGACAAGCAATAAGTGAAGAATATAAAGTTGCACCTAATATTCTATATGTTTTTAGGTATCACATTAACAATTTTTTAGATTTTAAAATAAAATTATGCCGAGAAAAATTTTTCTTAGTTTATGTGTAAAACTTTTGAAATTAATTTATTTGAAAACCCTAAAATTAACAGTAAAAAGACAACGGTCGAGTAAAATCTTTATCGTTTCTTATCTAGGTTTAATCAATAATGAGTGCTTAAAAAAATCGGTCAGTCTACAATGTTGTTTAAACAGTATGAACGTGTCGGTATTACTAACAATAAATTAATCACGAGTAATTGTGCGTAAATAATAATACGCACGTATAGTAACAATAAGAATTGTTATACATATTTCTGCTTTTTTAAACAGATTTTTAATACATATATTTCTACAATTTAATATGTATTCTTATTTTAATGTATATATTATTGTAATAATAGTTAATAAAATACGATAATGTCTTACGCACAATTTACATTGACGATTGACTCTGCCACAATGTGGAATGAGATCATAATGATTGATCTTCGAATTTTCTGTTAAAAGAGAGATAAGAAAAATTTATTACGTTATTGATCGTAAAAGACACATAATGTATGTATAAAATATATTACATTAAAATGCGATATTGTTATAATGATATAAGTTATTTTTATATTTGAATAGTTAATAATTGTTCTCTTTTTTATGATGTTAATTTTAAAAAATCTACTATTGATTTTTACAAATTAAATATGTAATCGTGGTTTTTTCTACATATGGAGAAATATATGCTTATATAATAAGTAAAGTTACATTTCGCATTTATATGACTATTTTCTATTTTTTGTAACAGATATTAAATTAATATAATTAATAATATAGTCACACAGATTCTTGCTTTTTTTATTTTATCATCATATCATGCCAAATTTCATATATTTTAATAGAATTATTCTAAGTATAAAAATATCATATATTTTTCTCTCTTTTTCTTAAATACGAATATATAAATCTCACTAACACGCAGTGTATCCATGTGCGATATCTCTCTTAACAGTCAATATTGGCTAATACTATATTACTCGTTTCGTGAAACCGAGTTGTTATTTAAACTTGTTATTTAAACAGCATTGACGTATGGATCTATGGTCAGTTCTTAGAAATGTGACGAGGATAGAAATGTATATTTTCTTTCTTTTAATCTTTCTTCTCAATTGTTAACAAAAGAAATTATGTTCCTACCAATTATCAGATACATTATTAGAAAAGAATATGTTTTAATTAATACTAAAAAATCAATTATAAAGAATGTTCTTATCGAGAATAAAGAAAATAATTAAGACTATGTATATAATTTCCACAATTTTTAAAAATTTTTAATCATCTTTAATGCATTTTCTCGAAACAGTAAAACAAAAATGTGATCTTTAATATTGATCAAATATTAAACATTATGAACATATTACAATTTGAATATAGTACATATTGATTAATTTTTAGCACTGTGCAGGTTGCACGCAGTTGTTCTCAGCATTGAGCAGAAATCCTGATTTGCAGAAGCATCCTGGAACGCATTGCTGCAAAAAAATGTTTGAAGTCTAATATAACATTTACATTATAAAGTTTTATATTTAACCACACAATATTTTACATCTGTTAAAAAAATTAGAATAAAATTTTTAATCAAATTCAAATATAAAAATAAACCGATAAATACCATTGTGCACATGACTTGACTAGGGTCCTCATTGCATTTAGGTGGACATGCTGTTCCGCACTCCTTATATACTTGATTTTCTGGGCATGGTATTGGATTCTGAGCAGCAGTTATGCCTGTACATACACAATATTACATATGTCATTATATACGTCCACGTGTCACAATATTAGAAAATATTAAAACTAATTAAAAAACTAGAGAATATATTATAATTTATTATTTATAAAAGTTCTTAGATTCAATTAATCACAGATGAATGAATATTATAATTATTTACATGGTGCGGAAACTTACTGAGAATCACTCCGACCACTACGAGCAACACGAAACTAATACGAGACATCGTTAACGTTTTGATACTTTACTTTATCAACTTGTGAGTGATACTGTCTGCGAGTTTCAAGCTTTTATATATACCAGGCACCATTTAGATCTGGATTTGTGTGCGTTTGTTTATCTGAAATTATTGTCTATTATCTATTACGTCATCACTTTCGATGACACGTTTGTGTTTATACATGCACATGATAAAATACACGTTTGCTGAACGATGAATAATCAAAGAGCGATTTTGCACGTGAATATACTAAAACATTGATAATGAAATTTATCGATAACAACAAACATTGCCGCGTTCTTTTAGCATTTACGTGTTGTAAACGCATTGCAAATGGAACTTTGTTACACATGTTGAATGTCAGAAAGTCATTATTACACAAAGAAAATTTTTATATACTTTTATTATACATAATTTTTCGCACTGATTCAATATACATTTTTAGATTTGTTATCTTTCGTTTGCATCTGCCATATTATGTAATCATATTTTTCTGCTGGCCAATTTTTGTATAGACCATTAAGAATCAATCAGAGATGTTTGCAAGGTCTCGCGCAAATTCTATTGTAGTTTAGCAATTTTCAAGGTGATGATGTAATAATTAAATTGTTGAGTATTGTTTGTGTCCAATAATTGGTGTACTTTAAGAATGAAGCAGGAAGGACAACTCTTGTTCGATTAATTGGGAAATTCCGGGCCTGCAAATGTATACGTTGTGTCCACTTTGTCAGCGTATAAGTTTGACGGTCAGTCCGACCCGCTTCCCGAATACGCTTTTACCCTAAACGCCATTTCGCCATCGGCGAGATGGCCCAAGTGAATCAGATTGACCCTTCTGCTCCCCCTCTTGGTACATAGGTCTTTTTTTTATTTCGCGTAAAGAGCGCTGAGAATCGAATATCTAGATTCGAATTGAATTTATTACGATCGGGAATTGAATTATTGTCTGCGCGTAACTGCTTTTAGTTGGAACATTTTCGTGAACTGAAGCGTCTCTAAAATCATTTATTCTAATAACGGACGCATTTGTCGAAAAATTTTGTTCGCAAAATATTTTCGATTTATTTTGATTTATATACTTGTAATGTGTATATAAAACTAACGGGTTTTTTAATTATGTAAAATCGTTGAGCGATGCTTCCGCAATTGATTCGAAAAAAATTGCATGCATTTTATTTTTAATCAGAGAAGTAAAACTATGCAGCTGACTTTCTATTATTATTTTCCCGATATCGCCTGAGGCAAAAGTTCAAAGACGAGCACGAGCAAGTTGTCAACTCTTTACAATGGCGAGCCGATGCCTTAATTACTTGGAAAACTCGGCGTGTAATTGTGTGATATCCACTCTCTATTCCCATTGTCTTGACTGTCCTATTCAGCATTTCAAGATGCATCGCCATCCGATTCCGACAGAAGAAAACTCGATTGGGAATTCTCGAGATTCCCTGCTCGTTCGCTACGACCTTTCTTTAGCTTTCAGGTCAATCTTCGTATTTTTCTCTTCTCCTACTCTGCTTTTACCGTTCAATCTTTGTATCAGAGCAGCGTCAAGTTAACGATAACTGTCGTGACTTTGCTCCACTGACCCTATCGTGATTTTGCTGACCATAATATAGCGAGTGAGATATGTATATTACAGAATATTTAATCGTAAGATGTTTTCTACTCAATTTTCTCTAAACTAATGATTTATATTTATTTATGATTAAACACGGAAAACAAGTTTCTTATTTTTTGGATTGAATATTTCCTCAGTTTCTCTCTCTTTTGCTTATTCAATATAGAAAACATATTTCGTTTTATGTAAACAGAATGTGCGATAATTTTATTTAATGATATCGAATGTGGCAGGATGGTTCTTTTTTTATCATAAAATTCACGTTTTTTTTTAAACAACATGAGTCTATTACGAGCTATGTAAATTGATGTCAAACATATATATTTCCAAATTTTACATCAAAACCGTATAAATCTACTTTACAATGAGACGTTTCGACGCTTACTATGTTTTCAACGTTTCACTATGTTTTAACTAATTATGACTGAAGAGACGCAAGTAAGCGTCGAAACGTCTCAATGTAAAGTAGATTTATACGATTTTGATGTAAAGTTTGGAAATATATATGTTTGACATCAATTCACATAGCTCGTAATAGGCTCATGTTGTTTTATTATCTCTAATTTATAAATTAACGAGCTTATTCATTCATTTAATTTATAATATTATTAATTTTTATTTTTACTAAAAATCAATTATTAATTAATAATTACTATTATTTTATTTTAAATTTAAATATGAATTATATATATATATATATATATATATATATATATTTGTTTATATATAACATTACGTTAAAGAAAATGTTAAGGCAATTTGATATCATGATTTTCTAGTCGAGACAGTTGATAGCTCTGCGTTTCTTTATCTTAAATATGCGAAAAAGAATAACAGCTATTACGACTTGAATTCGATGCACAACAGTGAGAGTCAGGAATGTCTATATATCATTAAAGAACGGGGAATCACGAGTCGTCAAGCACGCAGTGTACATATTTAGTTTGGATTTTCCCGCTCGCGTATATATCACGTACAGCATAAAAGAGGTAATTGAACGAATCAATTTTAAAGAGGAAAAAAATTTCCAATGCATTGTTATTACTTGTACGGATGCGCAATTAAACACGTAAGCAATGTTGTTCTATTTTAAGCAAGAAAACACACATTTATGTCAAGTTTTACATGTGGAATATTACGTTCTAAATGCACGTTATCCGATATTTATGAAGATAATATCTATGAAGCTGAATCATTATGTATTTTCCCACTACATAATCCATATACATATATATAATACTACTATATTGATAGTGGAACTTTACGTGACAAAAACGTTACTGTGCAGACATATATCTCCCTCTTGCTTCCACAATCGTGTACTTGAACGCAAATTGTGGAGAAGAGAAAGGAAGGTCTGCGCATGTGCATTGCATCAGAAGCAATAAAAAAAATAATTTTTTTTAAATTAGTTCTGATAAATAATAATTCATAATTATACCATTTTTACATATAATAAGAGTTCCATTTTTACATATAATAAGAGTTCCTGATGGGAAGGGAAAAAGAAGGCGCATGCACATTGCGTCAGGTATTATTACCATATATCGCAAAGCCGATGTAAATTTATATAAGAGACTTCTGAACTGAACGACAGTTAGACTGTGAGTTGCAAATTGTGCATGAAGACTAAAAATTCGTCATAATGTCTCGTACAATAATTGTACTGCTGGTTGTATTGGTGACATTTTCTACACGTAAATATATATTTAATATTATATTATTGAGATTTTTCAATTTTTATTTCATAAAAAATTTTATCAATGTTCTTTTTATGGGGTGTGTCACCCCGACATTTAATTTTCATAGTTCTGATTAGAGTTCTGACTTCTTTTTAAAAAGTTTAAGAGTTCTTATCATTAATAAAAAGATAAAATATTTTTAATATTGCATTAAAATAAACAAATCTTTTAATTTTTTTAAATTAGTTTTGATGATTAATTATAACATTTTTACATATAATGAAAAGTTCCTAAAAGTTTGTTACCGTAAATCGAAGGAACTCTTTTTATTAATAATAAAGAATTTTTAAACTCTTTAAAAAGAAGCCACACACACCTTTTATAAAATAAAAAGAACATTGATAAAATTTGGTATATTGGCATTGATAATAAATATTTATTCAGCGCTAATGTTTTTCATTAAGCAACTTATTGAACATCAATTTAATATTAATTTAAAAGAATTAAATTAATTAATGTTTGTCCAATATATTAAAATATATGTAAATTCTTATTAAATAGTTATATATATATATATATATAGAAGAGATATAGATCAAGAAAAATATCAGTCCGATAGGCGATTTTCTGGCCTATTGCTTTGCAGGGAGATTAAAAGGGAAATACGGGAATTAGATATCTCAACCAAAAAACTTGCCCCTAATTAGCGAAAGCTAATTCCTAATGAGCAAATAAATTAATTTTCGCAATGTTTGCAATAACATCATATATATTTTTCACTAATTGGGAATTAGTATCTTGGTTGAGATATCAAATTCATGTATTTCCCTTTTAATCCCTCTGTAAAGCAATAGACCAGAAAATCGCCTATCGAACTGATATTTTTCTCGCTATATCTCTTCTTGATTTCGAGAGCCGAAAAATATTCTTAAAATAGTTATAATGTTTTATTAGTATTGTAACAACTTGACAAATGTACCACACATTATTATTATTTTAGATACATTTGCTGATTGTCCCATAAATGAAGAATTCAAATGCGGATCGGCATGTCAAACAACTTGTAGTAACTTGTACAAATTTTGTCCTATAGTTAACATCGTAAGTGCATAAATATCGTAACCTTTCGAGAAATTCATATACTCTTTGTATTTAAAAATTAATTAACTGATGAAGATAGAGAGAGAGAGAGAGAGAGAGAGAGAGAGAGAGAGAGTACGTATTTTATATTAAATTTATATTTATATAAAATTAATATTTATTCAAGGCAAAGAATTAATTTTTACAAGATTACAACTTGTTAATATCTCATTTTAAATATTTTTATTTCTATTCACAAATATTATTTATATATTAATCTTCTTTTAGAAATGTAATGATGCTTGTTACTGCATAGAAGGATACGCGCGAATTGATGGTGATACAAGTCCATGTATTCCTAAAAACGAATGTGGAAACCATCATTGAATATATTATCAAATAATATATCTGATATCTTAGGATAATGAAAAATTAATTGCGTTACTAATTGGAACAGTTAGGTACTCGACTTTTACTTTTTATTGTGATCTGCCATAATAAATTATTATATTTTAATCTTTATTACAAATTAAATACTTATTATACGACACAATTATTAATATTATATGTGTACTTATTATGTATTTTTAATATATATTATACAATATTATTTCTGAAATAAATCAAATTTTAAATGGATTTTGTGTATTGTATAGGAAGATAAACTAATTCTCGCTGTATTG